ATAAAAAGAAGAGTGACCACTTGCACTTAGAACCGTGTTGGAAGTGCGCACCGTCATTGGGGTCATTTGAGGTGTTTGCATATTGGTCGTGCCGAGATTGATTGGGACTACTTCTTATGCACGTATTTTGTTACAACATCAAACATTTCAAGGATTGTTGCGCTGCCTGTTAGACGTTCCAGCCGAGCAAAAATACCAATCAAAAAGATTTTTAATTCCAATTATGTTTTCTATTATAGAATTAATAGAACCAAATAAGGTGTATGCTTCCTTTTTTGCTTATTATCTTGGGGATGAATTTCAAAAGAATATGTAAGCACTATTTCTTTTGTATCATTGCTACTTTTTGAAAAACATGTAAGCACTATTTGTTTTGCATCCGTGGTACTTATTGAAAAACACATAGTGTACGCACATTTTGGATTCTACTATTATGAAAACTAGTATCACACCCGTGCGTTGCACGGGTCATAGTTACGGTACTACCTTAAGATCATTTTTAGAAATATAAATTGGTATATAATGGAATATAGAGATTTCATTATTTTAAAGTACAAAAGTAAAATGATTTACAAATTTCGAAAGACTTCTTTATAAACTACATCACTCGTATGTATAATTTGTGTGAGTATTCACTTCGCTGTATATCAGAATCTTCAAGCCATTGCGATTTATTACTCTTTAAACTGCAACATACACTTTCTCATGACTAAATACCAGTTTCCGTAACAATAATTCAATATGTTTCAGATATTGTTTTTTATAATAATTCAATAATTTGACTTATCTAAGTAATAATTCAACATTTTAATGTATTTATTTTGGAATTTGTATTTTTAAATTTTATTTTTGTATTTAAGTGGTACTATTAACTTACCCTATGACATTTATTTTCAATTTTATTTTAGATCACTTACCATTTTTACACGTATCCATGCTTGTAAATTATATTATTCATAGTATTTATTTTAGAATACTTATACCATTGTTACATGTTTCCATGCTTACAATATTAATAGTATTAATTTATAATTTTTTAATTTTTGCATTTAAATGGTACCGTTTGCTTAATGTACCACATTTATTTTTTAATTTATTTTATAACACTTACCATTTTTATACGTTACCATGCTTGTGAATTTTAGTATTAATTGATAGTATTATTTTTTAGTTTTCTATTTTATTTTTTATTTAAATGGTATCATTTACTTACTGTACCGTATTTATTTTCTAATATATTTTAGAATACTTATCGTTTTAATAATTATTTTATTTTCTAATTTATTTAGAACACTTACCTAATTTATTTTAGAACACTTACCATTTATTTTATTTTGTGTTTAAATGGTACTATTTGCTTATCGTGGTGACATACCATTTCGTATTTATTTTCTAATTTTCTAATTTGAACACTTACCTTTTTCAAAAAAATCATGTTTTTAAAGTATAGTATTAATATTAATTTTATAGGTTTTTTATTTCCGTATTTAAATCATACTAATTACTTACCAAACCACATTATTTTCTAATTAATTTTAGAACACTTATCATTTTTAGATGTACTCTCTGTCCCTAAATAGATTACAATTTTTTTCTCTCCTCTCGATAACTTTTGTTTGTTTACGCGATTTCATTAAGTATTTGATAAAATAAAATAATCTTATCACTTCTTGTTTTGTAGAACTTTTGACGTAGTTGTTTAATATATAATTTTTATATCTTATTCATATATCAATTTGTAAATAAAATTATTTCAAAAAGTAAGAAATTTTACTCCGTAACCCGCAATTTGTAATCAAATTGGGGACGGATGGAGTATTTTATTTTCTCTTTTATTTTAGAACACTGACCTAATTTCTTTTAGAAAACTTACCATTTATTTTATTTTCGTTTTTAAATGGTGCTAATTGCTTACCATACCATATCTATTTATTTTCTAATTAGAACATTTGTCATTTTTAAAACGTTTCCATTCTTTTAAATTATAGTATTAATATTAATTTGTAGTTTTTTATTTTATTCTTTTATTTAAATGTTATCATCTACTTACCGTACCATATTTATTTTCTAATCTATTTTAGAAAACTTACCATTTTTACGCNTATTTTCGTTTTTAAATGGTGCTAATTGCTTACCATACCATATCTATTTATTTTCTAATTAGAACATTTGTCATTTTTAAAACGTTTCCATTCTTTTAAATTATAGTATTAATATTAATTTGTAGTTTTTTATTTTATTCTTTTATTTAAATGTTATCATCTACTTACCGTACCATATTTATTTTCTAATCTATTTTAGAAAACTTACCATTTTTACGCATTTGTGCTTGTAAATTATAATATTTTTTTAATGATAAATAATTAATTTGTAGTTTGTTTGAAATAAATCATTTTAATCCTGCCCATACTTTATTAATTTGTAATTTTTAAATTTTATTTTAATATTTAAATGGCAGTGTATTTTATTTCCATACTTCAATTCCCTAATGGTTCACTACTATTTAATTTAATTTCTTAAATTGCGCGACCCTGGCCGGTATCGCCAGATTGTTGGCCGCCTGATATATCTCACTATTACCTGGCCCGATTTGGCCTATTCTGTTCATGTTTTGTCACAGTTTATGCAGGCCCCTAGAGTTGATCATTTAGCCGCTGCTATGCGTGTCCTGCGCTATCTTAAAGGGCACCCGGGCCAGGGTATTCTACTCCGCCGAGATAGCACGCTACAAATCTCCGCTTATTGTGATTCCGATTAGGCTAGTTGCCCTCTTACCCGTCGGTCCGTTAGCGGGTACTCCATCATGCTTGGAGGTTCTCCGGTCTCGTGGAAAACTAAAAAGCAAACTACGGTTTCACGCTCCTCAGCCGAAGTGGAAAACTAAAAAGCAAACTACTATTTAATTTAATTTCTTAAATTACCATTTATGTTGTCAACACTTTCCATATATGAGTGTTATACATGGGCGGGAAAAATTCATGTCTTTTTAAATAATGTATAGATACTTTTGGATTTGTACATAGATAGTCCTTAGATATTTACTTAAAATTAAAGTATATTGTTTTGTGGTATTAGAGTTACAATTTATAAAAAATAACGATACAATTTTTATTTACAGACACATCGAATGTCGTTGTCTCTCGAATAATAGTGTTTAGTCACGGACAACTATATGTCGTTGTCTCTCGAGTAACATTGTCTCTCAAGTAACTGAATTACAGTGTTTAAATTAGTCATGGACAACTATATGTCGTTGTCTCTCGACTCTTGAGTAACGAATCGTCGTGGATGCAATATCAGATTTGCACTCTCCTGAATTTTTAAACAACATAAGGGCATCTGGTGTGCCCAATCACGAGCTAAAATTAAAGGTCGGGACACCGATCATGTTATTGAGGAATATTGATCAATCTATGGGGATGTGCAATGGAACTAGATTGATTGTTACAAGATTGGGAACACATTTGATTCAAGGAAAGGTGCTGGGTGGTAAGAATGCAGGCCACGAAGTAGTCATTCCCCGACTTACTCTCACTCCTTCAGATACTAGGATTCCTTTTAAGTTTCAAAGGAAGCAGTTCTCTATTATGACGTCTTACGCAATGACAATTAACAAAAGTCAAGGCCAATCATTGAAGCACGTTGGATTATTGCTGAAGAAACCAGTTTTTAGTCATTGTCAACTATACGTTGCTGTCTCTCGAGTTACCAATCGACATGCTTTAAAGGTTTTGATTTGTAGTGATGACCTATCAACTTCAAATACAACAAAAAATGTAGTGTACAAAGAAATATTTCAGAACTCTAATTTCGCTCCTTTGTTTGACTATTATTAACCAACATTACGATGTAATCTATGTAATCTTTGTATTTCATATAATTTAGCTCTGTTTACTTAGCTACACGATTAATTTAATATATTAATCTTAATAACTATTTCAAACTACTGACCGTGCATCGCACGGGTTAGAATACTAGTTGTCTTCAACATTGCGAGGTAATACTTTAAATCTGTACACAAGAATCAATGAAATCCTTTTCTATGTGTCTTCTTATAATTTCTATATTAAATACATTAAAACAAATACACTTTTTCAAATTACAAACACGAATATGAAATCTAGTTTTATCAAAGGCAAATTCGTGAATGGACCCAAGGTCAATAGTGTCTATGGTGGATGTTCATATATGTTAGATAAACATTTTCATAGTGTCGAAATAAACAATTTTTAAATAATAATAAAATAAAAAAAATTGCGTGAGAAGGTTTATGTGGATCCACCATAGAACCTCTCTTCATCAAATTACCAGGGATACCAAATCTAAATAAGGGTTATGGTTGAGGGACCCCAAATTTTTTTCCCACCGCTTACATACATTCACAAATATGAAACAATGTTGGATGTTGAATGTCTCTTTTACTTATAATAGGACTAGATTTCGTACCCGTGTGATGCACGGCCAAACTCTTACAAAATATTTTAATATTTATATGTTAAGAGTATCTTTGGTGAAGAAATGGTGGAAAAATGTTGATGCAGCATGGGAAGAATAACTTTTTCTTGAAATATACTCCCTCCATCCCAATTTAAAATGTCTGATTCGGTTTACGGTGTTTGACTGAAATTGGGACGAAGGAAGTATAAACAAATTAAATGAAGGAAAATAATAAGTTTGAATTCACTCACATACAAAATTGTTAAAGAGAAGAAACCTTTTTATTTTTAAAAAAGGATCAAAATTGCAAAAAAAGTGGAAGAACAAACAAAAACCAATATAGAAAAAGAAAGTAAAAACCAAAAAAGATCAAAGAAACACCCAAGAAAAATGCTCTCGAGTCTTAATGGTTGAGATCTCATAAAAGTACACATCTAAATAACATTGATTACAAAGCTAGCCACATTCTGCATTCAATGTCAAAATCTAAGCATCATAGCTATGAAAAGTGAATTCCATCAAAACTTGCAATACATAATAACCAATTCAAATGACTTCATGGCTAAAAAAACCTCATGGACAGTTTCATGTATACAATCTGTTCCTATGCATCATACAAATTAGCACATGTACTAAGAGAACAAAAGATGATCAAATTGAGATATTCCTCATCTAAGAAATCGAAGCAGCATTGGTCTTAAGTTCTTTTGATATGGTTGGTCAGCTACAACCAAACACTTCAGAGATGTCAAAACCTTGCAATCTAACCTAGTAAGGAATTGGTCATGGATAAATCAGCTGATACATTGCTCAGTTCAATAAGAAAGCAGCACCCTTTTAAAAGTTTACATGTGAAAATTTTGAGTTGGCCACATCTGAATTGATCATTTGTATAAATGTGTGGACACATTTTTTCTTAAAGAGCTGACATTACACCGAAGTTCAAAAAAAATAAAAAAGACAATTCAATTTTACCAAATTAATTATAAACCATCAAAAGTAGCTCATTAGAGGTCATCTGATACTTTACACACACGCACTGACGCACGCATGAATAGTAATTTTTTTACTTCAAGCAGTTACCTGAAATAACTCAACTACAATAACCCATGATGTCCTTATGCTTTCCTAAAAAGTCACACGCCTGCAAGAGGAGAGGCAGATACAGTAGGTTTTAATTGGAAAATCCGGGACATTTATGAAGTTTATGAACCTAGTATGAGTTAACCATATAATGAACCTGATCTAAACTCGTGATGGAATCTTTTAGCCAAAACGACATATATGAACATGGTCTAAATAGAATAAATCTTTAACCAAGGCATCTTCCTGTTTGGATATGTAGTCCACTTTTTGGGTGCAAGATGT